AGTATGGAAATCAATAGTTGCTAGATACTACAGTTTCCAGTCGACTTAGTCCTCATGTGACAGCTCTCTTCCTTCTTTAAAGGTAATTTCTCCTAGACTCCCAAACACACATGTCCAGTGACATCCAGCTGCCTGGAAACACCTCACCCCCACTGCAGCCCTCTCCAACATCAATGACAGTCCACGGTAGACTCGCCGCCTCAGATTTATGATACATCATGGGTTTTAAGCTCACAATTCTGCAAGAAGGGGACATAACAACTAATCATTACTTTTTGTTTGTTGCATGTCCATTGGTAACTTCCTCATTGACCAATGAGATGAGCATTAGAAAGAGCCTGCCGTCAACAGTGCAGTGACAGTCACCTGCCACTCCAGCACCCTAGAAGCTGAGCCAAGAGGTGTGCAAGTTGCAGGCTAGATTACATAGGGAGACTCTGCCTCAAAAACCAATACCAAACCAAACAAAAGCGTGTCCGCTAAATTGTTTCATTTGGATGTGCTCATCTTTGCTTTATTTACATGTTATTATCTATTATGTAAAAAGGCTCCTAGAGGTTTGAAACAGCCAGGCAACTCTCTGAAGCACTTACCACGGAGGAACGGAAGGTCATCTGTTAGCCTCAAAAGGAAGCACTTGGTTTGTTTGGTTTTTTGAGACAGTGTCTCATTCTGCAGCCCAGGCCTGGCTGGGTATTCACTAGATAGTGCAGGTTTTCCTTGAATTTATGGCAATCCCATCAGCCTCCATGTACTGGGATTACAGCCTTATCGTGCCCAGCAAAGAAAGTGCTATTGGTTATGTTTGGAAGGAGGTCAGCAGGGTCAGGCTCCTCTGCTGTAGAACATCTATGACTGCTGTCAGTCTCACCCAGAAAGGTCCCAGGAGTTACAGGACCCAGGGTGTACGGGGGCGCAGTGTGTACGGGGGGCACAGGGTGTACGGGGGGTGCAGGGTGCATGGGGGTACAGGGTGTAGGGGGTGCAGGGTGCATGGGGGCGCAGGGTATACGGGGGCGCAGTGTGTACGGGGGCGCAGGGTATACGGGGGTGCAGGGTGCATGGGGGGTGCAGGGTATACGGGGGTGCACAGGGGTGCAGGGTGCACAGGGGCACAGGGTGCATGGGGGTACAGGGTGTAGGGGGTGCAGGGTGCATGGGGGTGCAGGGTGCATGGAGATACAGGGTATACAGGGGTGCAGGATGCACGGGGGTACAGGGTGCATGGGGGTGCAGAGTGCATGGGGGTGCAGGGTGCATGGGGGTGCAGGGTGTGCGGGGGTGTAGGGTGTACAGGCACATGTTGGAGCCTTTCTAATGATTCTTCTGCACTGTTTCAGAGAAGTCTTGGGGCTGAGGGGCTCAGGACATCTGCTTCTTAATTAAGATTGTGTGGATCAAGGGAACTCCACTCCAGCTGTCTTGATGACAAACACCCAAAGCAGGAGCTAATAAGGACCAGCCACATGCTCTAGAACCAGGCATGGAGACACACACACCTGTAATCCCTCTGCCTCTAGGGAGGCAGAGACAGGAGGATTGTGAGTTCAAGGCCTGCGTGGACTTCATAGTGAGACCCAACTCAAACAAGAGACAACAGCAAAAAGAAACTGAAAACTCAGCTTCTACAGGCAAGTTCCAGCCTAGAATTCTACTGTGATATCACTCAATACAGTTGGAATGAATGGTCTCAGAACGTCATCCACAGCCTTGCATATTTTCTTTGGCCCCTACCCTGTACTTTGTCCAGTTATCTTGAGACATAGGAACTGAAAAGTAATTCAGCCTCGAACCTGGTAAAGTTACCACATAGTAATTGCTTATATATTAATGCACCTTGCAGATTGCAATGTGCTCTCATGGATGATTATTGCTGGCTAAAAATAAAATAAAATAAAGTGAAATTCAGGGGGAAAATGAGTAAATGGCATTTAGCTATTCACACACCTCCTTTTGCTGCTGATAAAGAGGGGGATGAAAGGACTTCTCGATTAACAAGGAAGCTGGAGTCCTGAAATTCTGTTCCTGGATATCGATACAAAGTCAATGCTTTTTAAATTAAAAATGAGATGCTGCTACTTATGACTTGATAAGTTATAAAATGCCTCTTTCATCCTTCCCAGTTAATGGTCCCAGGCTCCACTGCAATTAAATTTCAGATCTTCAGCTCATACGTGCTGTGGGATGGTCTGTATGGCAAATGTGTTGCTGATTGGTCAATAAATAAAACACTGATTGGCCATTGGCTAGGCAGGAAATATAGGCGGGACAAGGAGGAGAATAAAGTTGCGAAGTGGAAGGCTGAGTCAGAGAGACACTGCCAGCCGCCACGATGAGAAACAGCATGTGAAGATGCCAGTAAGCCATGAGCCACGTGGCAAGGTATAGATTTATAGAAATGGATTAATTTAAGCTGTAAGAACAGTTAGCAAGAAGCCTGCCATGGCCATACAGTTTGTAAGCAATATAAGTCTCTGTGTTTACTTGGTTGGGTTTGAGCGGCTGTGGGACTAGCAGGTGAGAGAGATTTGTCCTGACTGTGGGCCAGGCAGGAAAACTCTAGCTACACATACAGATTGTATTGGTACAATGTGGTGATATTTTACTTGTACTGAAATGTGATTTTAATTGTATGTTAATAAATAAAGTTGCCTGGGGGTCAGAGCTATTAGAGCCATAGCAAGTGCATGACGGTGGTGGCGCATGCCTTTAAGGACCTGGAGGGCGGTACATTCAGGCAGTGACGAGGCAGTCACATGTTTGGGTTTACAACCAATTAGAAGGCAGAACAGCTAGAGTGTATAAAGACATACACACAGGAAGTAGGCCCCTCTTTCGGAGAGCTCTCTTGGCTGAAGAGGATCCCTGAATCAGGAAGGGTGAGGCTCTTAGCTCTGACCTCTTGGCTTTCTTCTCTGAATCGGCTCTGTGTTTCTTATTTAATAAGACTGTTGGTTACATCTACAGTACCTCGAAACAAGGACAGGGTAAAAGAGGGCTCTGTCTCTGTGCTGTTTTAGTGTGAAGGGTGGAACCTCTGAGTCCTCTGTGTTAGGTGGCAGAGGTGAGGGAATGCTCAGGCCTCCCTTGTGAGCACTAACCAGCCCTGACTCTGAGCTCAGAGGAGACAGTGCATTCAGGGCAGAACCACAGAGGAGGCCTCTGATGGGCTATCCAGTCTCAGCCCTAGACATGCACACCTCACAGCAACACTAATACACTTGGTAGATTTTCTATGTATATATATTACTGAAGAGGAGGTTGTAAATATTGAGATGGAGTTATAGGAAGGACTTACGATGAGTTGGAGAAGGGATGAAAATAATGTAATACAGTCATGTAGGAAATTTTCAAAAGAAAAAAATTAACTTAAATTTTAAAAGTATGCTTAGGCCATACAATGGATTTTGGACTTCTTGTTCCCAGTGAAGAAGTCAGAATACCAATGTGTCAAGGTCATCCTAAAATAATCTGCACCCCCACGCTATAGAAAGCCCCCCAATTCTTCCTGCACAGAGCCCAAAGTATCTTGGGAATCTCATCTTGACCACTGAGATCAATAACCATTACAGAATAGATTTTTAAGGAGTGTGCTTTATTGCAATTAATCTAATTAAATTGCAACTCCAACCAGTGTTTTTTTTCTGAGAGTAAGCAGTGAGAGTTGCTGCATATACTCAGCCAGTGGCCGTATCATTTACCTGCTGTTGGGCCTGAGATGCTCAGAGGACTTGGCGGCCCAGGGACATCATCTCTAAAGCAGGAGTCCATGGCAGCCACATCTGCAGAACTGTCCTATGCAAACCCCAGGCGAATGTTTGTGGGATGCTGCCAGCATGGTGAAGTTGTTCTCAGAAGAGACAGGGAAGCAGGTACCACCCAGCCTTCCTGACACTTCCTGCAAGGTACGGTTGCTCAACCACACCTGCCAAGATACAGCACCTGGGGAACCTACAAATGTTTATGGACAAATCTCCAAGCCATATTCATAAAATCTGGCATTGCGGAAGGTGGGGCCCTTGTGCTGGCATTCCCAAAGCTGCTCTGTTCTCATGTGCACTCAGGGTGAGAAGCATTGCTGTGCAGTCAATCAAACAAGAGCTTGAGCCCCACTGATGAGGAGTCTCCCTGTCTCCAGCCATGGCTGGCAAGTGCTGACACAGCCGGGGGCTTTGGGGTCAGTCTGACGCATCACGGCTATGAGAAGAAGTACTTGAAATGCCTGCTTCAGGTTCCTGCCTAAAGCCCAGGCCTGACAACAATCAGTCAACACTAATTTTGTGGGAGCCTGAACTGCGTGGTGGGGGACAAACGGAGCAAAGTGGCCAAGTGAAATGTTCTTCATATCTAGGACGATTGCATGAAGGGCGAGGTAGGGACATACATCTTCCCCTTGGTGTCCCCATGGGTGGCCAAGAGGGTGGGAGGGGCAGAAATTTCATGTGGACATGTGCTAGAGGTGTCAGAAGTCCATGGTATCTGCTCTGCAAACACAGAGCTCAAAAGCTTCTACCACAAGAGTATAAACCACTGAGGGAGACAGAGGCAGCTCTCTCCATGGGCAGCTGCTGTGGCCTCCCCATGTGCTGTAGCGCTCTTCCTGTGCATAGAGATTTCACAGTCACAGGAAGTACAGATCCTATCTCTGAGGGAAGTGGAAGCTTAGTTGGCTACCTCTAGGTTTGGATAACCACGGGAGATTTATCACTGAATCTCAACTGTGGTGTAATTCCTGATTCTATTAGTGTATTGATTGGTTGGTTTGTTGACTGAATGTAGTACTGGGAATGGAACTTAGGGTCTCACACATGCTAGGCACATGTTCTACCACTGAGCTGTATTCCCAACCACTCCTGATTTTGAGTTGCTGGTTGCTTGGGACTATTTATGAAATAAAAACATGATTTATTCATTTAGATCTCAAGAAGTTACTTCACCTGCTTAGGACACAAAGAGAAATGAAAAAATCAGCAGAAATGAGTGACATAATAAAGACTTACTGTGTCTCCTTTTTCTTCTTCAGAGGGTCCATGAGGCGCAGCGTGTCTCTGATCACGGCCACCTTCACCTCCTCATCCACCAGGCTGGGGATATTTTCAAACACCCCTGGAGAGAGCTTGGAAGGTAAGGATTCCGAGTCAGAGCTGAACTGTGACCCACTTCGGATGCTTATCTCTGCTTGCCTCCAACTAGCCCAGTGGTTGTGCAATCACGCATCTGGCCTATGCAAATCCACAGAAGGGGATTTTAACCCTCCTTCACCTTAGCTTAAATATGCAAATCACCTTTTATAAATCCACAAAACCCACAAAAAATAACAGCACTACGGCTTTGTTGTTATTGATAAGATTTTGTTTTGTTAGCCTAGGCTGGCTGCCAACTTGATATGTAGCTGAGGGTGGCCTTGAACTCATGATCCCTCTGCCTTCCCCTCTGGACTCCTGAGGTTACAGGTGTGCACTACCATGCCTGCTCTTGGCACTATGCTTCTTGGATTATCAAAATTATGCGATGCTCACTATGTATGAGATGGGAACGTGAAAAAGGCTTAAGAAAATTAAAAGAATCCAGATAATCCCCAAAAACCCAGTAGTAATTTTAGGGGTGTTTCCTCTGGCTCCTTAAATTCATTTGTGGGGGTGGGGCACAAGCGCTGTTAAATGTACTGTTTATCTTAGTGGCTCAAGCATGTCGACATGGCTAACTCATATTCATAGAATTTCAATTAGTTCATCTCCTGAGGCTAACTAATTAGTTCATGTCAAAATGGATGGAGAGGTTCAGCTGCTTCTAAGTTTCCCACCTTAAAAATGAGAAGAATGGCATGCTGGGAAATTACCGTGGGTCGGAAAGGTCTTATATTAATAGACTCTCTTTGGAGCTCGACAGAACTAAAATTATTTGACTCGAATGGAATTTTGCTGTGAATTTTTGAGGATGGCAAGTCTTGGGCAGTCAAGGGGATGCCTCACAGGTAGGGATACATGGTCCAGGAGATGCTGCAATCACTTACTTCGTATTCATGCTCAATTCTCATGCTGGGGTTTGCATTCACTTCAAGTAGCATAGGTTTCAGGCTTTTCATCAGAAGAATGTCAAAGCCTAAAATCTGGACAGAGCACACATGATTCAGAATTACTCCCTCCGGCCACAATTTCTTCTCAGGAACTGAGTATGGTATTAGGGTCATTAAGGGGAAAATAAATTCAAACTTGGTCTCCAACCTTGGCCTTGACCCTGACCTCCCTCCTCCACAGCCCTTGCTCCTCTGGGTGTACTTGTCGGGCCAAATGGATAGCAGAATTTTTTATGGAAACCTTGGTAATGGAATGCGTTCCCATAGTGCGTTTCAGTACTATCTCTGTCGACCCAAGTGCCATAAAACGACGCCCTCTATCCTTAACAGGCGTTTTACCATGTTAAGGATTACTGCAGCCCATCAGTTTCCCCCCCAGCCTTTGTTCTACTCTCCTCTGTTAAGTTCCTTCTTGGCTACATCTCTGGACACCCAAGGCCACCTCTCCTAACCTGGAGCATGCACGAGTGTCTTGTAAGGTTCAAAAGCAGCTCACCCTCCAGGCCTCACCCGCTGTTAGAATCTTTCAGCAGAATGTGGGCAAATGTATTTGGGAAACATTAATCACCCTCCCTGGGTGAGTCTGACATAACCTCTTGGAGTGTGTGTGTGTGTGTGTGTGTGTGTGTGTGTGTGTGTGTGTGTGCAGAGAGTGAGAGATGAGGGAGGAGGGAGAGGGGAGAAGAGGTTTATTTTGGAAAATATGACATTGGGGGGTGCCAATCACCACCCCTTTTTCCTGCTCCTAGAACCCTCTATAGTTATGCGTGCTACACACACACACACACACACACACACACACAGAGAGAGAGAGAGAGAGAGAGAGAGAGAGAGAGAGAGAGAGAGAGAAGAGAGAGAGAGAGAGAATTAGTAACTATACAATGCACCAAGGAGTCACAATTCCATTAGATCCTATGAAGAAGACAGCCTAAGAAGGCAGCAGAATTTGAGTCTCAGAAAGGATTGTGGGTCCTCAGTACTGCCTACCAAGAGGGTGAAAATGTTGGCTTTCACACCCAAAGAGGACTGATCACATGTGCCTCCAGGGTAAGATGAGTGTGTGTGTCTCTGCTCAAAAAGCATTAATAGTTTCCAAATTGTGATAGCATAAGACCAGGCTAGAAAGCTGCCTGAGTGTGGGACCCTGTGCAGCGACTTCACAGATCAGCACCACAGGCCAACCCTGTGCTCAAGGCTCACTCCAGCACCAATTGTTGGACACCCATGCTTGAATTCAGCACCTGTCGTCCAGCGCCCTAACCTCTGAATTCCTTACAAGTCCCTCCGTCAGGCCAACTGCGTGTGCATCCTGCTCTCTCTTCACACCGTTCACCTGGGGAACTGTGCATCCTTCAGATCCTTCCTAATGAGATTCAGACTCAAAGACATGGATCACAGATTCTTAGGGGCAGGAGTGGTTCCCATTATCTCTAGAAAAGTGTTAACATTAGAAAATTTCTAACAAAATTGACACAACCCTGGAGTCTCAGAAAACTAAATAAATAAATGATGCAGAAGAGGGCAAAAAAGAAACAGATATGGTGTAGATTCCTCTTCCTCTATGGACTCCAAGAGGGAAAGATGAGGAGAATCCATTTGCTCATCCATATAGAATATGCATTAGTTAAATGATAATTATCAAACTGTAGCTTCATCTATATTAATGAAATCAAAGTCTGGATGGCCATTTTTGGGAATGATTCAAGATGAACTTATGTCTCAGTGAAGGGTAATCAGGATGAGGAGCTGGGAAAAATCACCCTTGTACTATTTTTCTTTCCGTGGTCATGAAAAGGAAGGAATGGAAATCAGTAGAAAATGCTGCATATATTACAGATCTGCTTAATAATAAATGACAAGTGGATATGAGTGATGAGGCCTTTAAGAGACTGTGGTGACACCAGCAGTGTAACTTTGGACCTGGCCTGAGCCATGTGCTGCAAATGAGGTTGGGGACAGTGGCTTGCCACTGTGCCAGCACTGGTCATCCTTGATTGTCTGCCCTGGCTTTCTGCTGCATCTCAGAAGTCTGGATTTTCACTCTTTCAAACCTGGTTAGATTCTTTTCTGTTCCAGGCCCAGTGGACTACAGAATGTGAAGGGATGTTGAGAATTAGAGAAAAGAACAGTGAAGCCTCTTCCAACGAATTGGTTGGCACCCACCAGTGCCGACCATTCAAGACTCTGAACTTGGGTGCTTGGTTTTGAATGGATTGAATCTTACATGGGAATGCTTTGGAGTTGGAAAGCCCTGGGCTCTATCTCAGCTCATTCTCTCTCACTAGCTCTTTAATAGGCTTTTGGGAAGGTGTTTAGCTTCTCTGAACCATGACCTCATTGAAAAATGGGCATAACATGGAAGCCCTGCAGGGCCATCAATAATGGGTCTGAAAAGTGACCCCTAGCACTGCGCTTGCTGTATAGAAGGTGACCTATGCTAGCTCTTTACAGTTTCCAACGAAGTCCATCAAAGGGATGGCATTGGTGTGCTGTGGAGTCACAAGGGGCTGCTCATCTTCAGCTCTGCCTTTAACTACATGACTGAAGGCGAGCTTCTTGGTGGCTCTAGGCCCCACTTCCTTCATCTGTAAAATGGGCAAAAGAACATTCATTCATTCATTAGTGCAATATTTACTGAATGTTTTCTATAACTATGCACCATCAAGGAGGGCACCCAGTGGAATGTGTTCTGCAAAGTGCTTGACACACACTGTGTGTTTAAGGGAGGTCAAACAATATTATGCATTTTTTTTTTAAGTTCAAGGACATTTGAATTGTATTCCTCTCAAAAAGTTTGATGATGAAATATCCAGTACCAGGATGGAGAGATGGCTCAGAGGTTAAGAGCACTGGCTGAACTTCCAGAGGTCCTGAGTTCAATTCCCAGCAACCACATGGTGGCTGACAACCATCTATAATGAGATCTGGTGCCCTCTTCTGTCCTGCAGTCATACATGCTGTATACTAAGTAAGTAAATCTTAAACTAACTAACTAACTAACTAACTAAATAAATAAATAAATATCCAGTACCAAGGACTCTCAGGTTCACAGGACAAGGAAGAACTCGATCTTGCCATTAAAATCCCAGAATGTCTAAACTGGCAAACAAACAAACAAACAAAATAAATAAATAAATAGAAAGGAAGAAAGTAAGTCTGAAAATTTCTTGGTCCACAACTTCTCAAGATAATGTTCTTCGGAAGGAGCCAGATTGGATCAACTTTGACTACTTTTAGTATGCTACATTTCCAGGAAGAGACATTTATGTATTTTTTTTTCTTTTTTGAAAAATCACTAATCTCATCTAGTCCCTCCTTTTAGGAGACTAGATACCTGCAGCTTGGGGAGGGAAAGGAAGGACCTCTCTCAGCCTCTCCAATGGTTGTGGTACAGCAAGTGTTGTCAAATGGAGAGGTGACTTTTCATTCATGTGACCATCTGCCTTATGGAGCCTTTCAACCAATAATTATGTGGGGGACACCTTCTATTTGAGGAAGCCCTGGGATTTAAAACATCTGCCCTTCACCGCAGACCTCTAGAAGCTTCAAACTGAGTTGGAGAGGGTCCTGAGCAACTGACTTAGATTCACACAGAGGTGTCAAGCTACATTCCACAGAGAGATCTCTCCTCTGAGTGAGCCACACGACCATCTGAATCAAGTGTTTTCAACAAGGAGTCCAGGACTCCTAAAAATCTACATATACCTGTGGTCTGTGGTCTCTAATGTGGTCCCAGTGGGTCACCTCCCAGTATTCAAGAGTTTGTGCAACTCCCAATTACCTCTACCCCTCGAGTGTAGCTACATTTAGTGACCTGTTTCTGACAGAAGGGCAGAAAGGATGGTGTGTCACTTCCAACATTAAGGTAAAAAAGGGCAGTGGCTTCTGTCTTGGGGTGCTTTCTCTCACTCTGAAAGAAGCCACCAGGCATGTAAGTAAGCTGCCAGTGGATAGAGAAGGATAGAAACGACTTGATTTCTCCAGCCACCCACCAGGCAGGACCTGAGGCCTGTCAACATTGTGAGCGAACTTGGAGGATCTTCCTCAGGAAGGCCTTGAGAGGACTGAAGCCCTGGACAGTCTGTAAACTGGAGCCAAAGACACATCAGTTACTCTCTGATATTCTCTCTCTCTCTCTCTCTCTCTCTCTCTCTCTCTCTCTCTCTCTCTCTCTCTCCTCCCTCCCTCCCTCCCTCCCTCTACCCCTCCCTCATCCCTCCCTCCCTCCCTCCCTCCCTCCCCTCCCTCTCTCTCTCCTCTCTCTCTCTCTCTCTCCTCTCTCTCTCTCTCTCTATTTTATTTTATTTTAAGACAAGGTCTCACTATACCCGGCTGACCTGGAACTCGATGTGTAGACCAGACTAATCTCTAACTTACAGAGATCACCTATCTTGGCATCCTGAGTGCTAGAATTGCTCCTAGATTTTTTTTTAAGTTTATCATGTTGAGGTTTTTAGATTTATTTATTTACTATTTTCTGTGTGTGAGTATTTCACTTGCTTGTATGTTTGTGTACCATGTGTGTTGCCTGGTGCCTGCTGGGTCAGAAGCTAATAGAGTTGCGAGCCACCAGGTAGGTGCTGGGAATCGGACCTGGGTCCTGTGCAAGAGTGACGAGTGGTCCTAACTGCTAAGCCAAGGTCTCCAGTCTCTACCCTAGACTCTTGGTCACCGGGAATGGTGACGTGATGATTGCTGTTTCAGGCCACTGCTTCGTCCCACAGCACAGCTACTGAACTCAGCGGCCTTTTCCTCTAACTCGCTGGTTTCCTGTACGCCTTATCCAACCACCCACCAAGTCAAACTTCTCCCGTATCTACCGGTCACCAACTCCTGCAAGACCTTTCCAGATCTGGCCATCTCACTTCTGGAACCCGCCTCAGCTCTCACTTTTCCCTGATTTCAAACTCACCCCTTTGAATCATTAAGAGGTGGCAGGGAAACTTCTAGAATGCAAAAAGAATCTCTGCCCATAGAAGTTCAAGTCCTTGTGGCGTGTCCTTTAACTGCCAGGATTGGCTGACTATCACACA